AACTAGTCTGGCAGACTTCTTGGGAACGAATCTAGGCATGTAAATTTCACATGCCCTTAGTGAGCTGGCTCTTCCCTTAGGAGCAGAGATCATAAGATGTAAATGATGAAAACAACTCAGAGAGAAGAAGAAATGTTCCCTCACTCAGTTCCTGTACCAGTTGCACCTCACAAACCTTCAGCAGACATCTTCATAAATTGTATCTCCCATTTCCATCAGTTTTGACGTTGCTATTTTCTTTTTTTACTGCAAAACAATGATTTGATGGTAACTACAAATTTAAAGAGTTGCTAAGTTTGATGGAACTCATTTACCATCATAAGAGAAGGTTGTCTTTAATAATGTGTATTTACTTGTTATCATAAGAAACCATAAAGGATGGGATTCTGATGTAATTTCAGGTGACAAATACTTATGAAGTGGATATTTTGAATGCAGAACTCTTTGGGGGATCTCTGTAATCCAGCCTCCTACTTCATCTAGATACAATATTTGGCAAGTGCTAAGTTTTCCATAAAGGTTAGATAAATAAATACCTGAGTTGATTTCTAGTGACCACATAAGCAAAACATTCTTTCCCTTGTGAAAATGTGTCAGGAATGATGAATTGGACCAGCCACAATATTCGAACAGAAGTTAGTCTCAGTAGATGGTATGTGAACATAGAACCCCAGAGTTGGACAGGAATTTTTTGTGCTTGTTTGAAACTTGGCTCTGGCTGTGATTTCTTTGTCACAGATTTTTGGATGGAGAGGGGCTTGCACAGGGAAAGCAGGGTGTGCTGACACAGAAGCTCACGAGAACCTTGGCTGGGCTAGGAGTCATTGCTATTTTAGTCACTCCCAGATGTCTGCTGCTTTAGTTTTATGGAAAGAGAGGCTGGCATGCCCACTGGGTGGGGAGGAGGGATATTCCCCTTCTATGACTTTCAACTCACATGTAAAGCCAAACCTCAACATGCTCCTACGATGGATTTGATAAGGCTTTTTAAAGTTGTGCTCTTTAATAATGCCTTTCCCATTTACACTGTATGTATAGTAAATAGGCAAATTGAAGAAAGCTTCATGAATAAAAGCATGCCCCCTACCAATATAAACCAAAGCCCTCCCCACTTTTGTTGTGATCTAATATTTATGAAGCACTGGCCACTGAACATATGTCGAATCGCACATATACCAGATGAGCGAGCTGTCCCAGGAGCTATTGTGCTAATCTAACAAGCTCACCAGATGCTTGTTATGTATCTACTTTTGCCTTTCATATTATTTTCAGGGTGTCTTTTCTTTCCAATACTGTAATTATGAGTTAGAAAGAAGATGTTAGGTTGTAATATTTATGGATGTGAGGACAAAGCCCTCTGAAACCTTTTCAAAAAGAATTCCCAGAGTCCTTCCCAAGAGGCCCTGCAACCAACCACCAAGGACCAATCCAGGGTGCAGATGAAAGTACATGATGGGTTGGCAAGGGGTCTTCTTTTCCTGAGGTATGATGGCACTAATGCAACATGAGTCTTAGGAGACAAAGCAAGCACAGGAGAAGAAATATCGTGGTTAAATACATGGGACTTGGATTTGCCCCACTTCAAATTCAGACTTTATTATTTACTAGCTATGTGAATGTGACAAGTTGCTTACCCTTTCTAAAGCTTAGTTTCTTCATCTGTAAAATAGGTACAGGAGTAGTAATGTCTGCATCTTTGTGTGTGTTGGGAGGGGCCAGATCACGGGAAATGACAGTGCCTCCATTGTCTAGCCAGGCTGTGAGCTGACCAGAAATGAATCGAAGAGTAAGGCAGGGGGAGGTCAGCATGTCGCTTTCGTCATTGTTAAAGGATGTGGCACATTAAACAAGGGGCATCTCCTTATGGACAAGTAGGCTTCACAGCTGACTTTGCTAGCAGGACAGGTGTTCTCTTGCAGGGACAGAACACAGAGTACTCTCGGGAAGAGAAAGAGTGATCCCTGTTTCTTCAGTTTTGCTCAATGGTCAGATTGGTTCCCACTTCTGAGGGCTTGAGAAAGGCAGTGAAGAACAGCTAGAAGCAGCGTATTGTGGCTCTTCTCCATATGGAGTGAAACAGCAAGCGTGGAGGAAGTGATGCCCTCAGTAGCAGCTACTTCATATGATTCTTGAGGGGAGACGAAGCAAGGTGTTTGACAAAGGCTAAACATCAACACACATATAGATTGATATTATTCCTGCAACCATTAATACCGTGTGTCAGGAGTGTGGCAAGGAAATAGGGTGAGCATCAGTTACTGGAGAAAAAAAAGGAGGAGTTTAAAGCCATGGGGTGGGGTAAACATTTCTGGATATAATCCTTAAACTAAGCAAGAGGCCAAGAGTCTACACTTACCTGGTTTTGTTATTGTTGTGCTGGGACAAAGAAACCAGCATGGAGGTCCAGGGTAGAATGATTTAACATGATAGAGAGGAAGCAGAAACCTTCACCAGATAAATGTGAAGCCAGAACAACATGTGGAACTGGCATCTGGGAAATCCTGTCAGTGCATATTTTCTGAGGATAAAGATTTCTGGGTATTGGGCACATAAATGATTTATGTGTATGCAGTTTCTGACTTTGGATTTAAGATTAGCCTACTTGCTCCTTAATTGAGGTTTCACTAGTTGTTTTTAACACAAATGCTCTTTTGGGTTGAAGAGTAGCATTCTCCAGAGAAATATGACCATATAATTAATATATTTATATTTCTTATAGAAAGCTTTGTATATTGTATCTGTTACTTATACATTGCTATAAACAATAGATTTATTATACATGAAGTGATATTTATTTTGAAGAATTGGCTCATGTAATTACTGAGGCTTAGAAGTCCCATAATATAACCTTTGCAATCTACAGACACAGGGAAGCCAATAGAGCAATTAAGTCAGAGTGAGTCTGGGAGGCTTAAGAGCCAGGGAACTGATTGTGTGGGTCCCAGTCTGAGGGCAGAAAATGAGATGAAATGTTCCAGGTCAAGCAGTAAGGCAGAAAAACATAGGGCAAACTCCTCCTTTCTCTGTTCATTCCTTCATTTTATTCAGACTCTCAGTGGGTTGGATGGTGTCCCGCCACATTGGGATGGGCAGTCTGACTTACTGAATTACCCACACCTTGTCATACACACTTAGAAACTTTAATCTGGACTCCTATATTCCTCTTTTTTTTTTTTTTTTTTTTTTTTTTGGTACCAGGGATCAAACTCAGGTCCTTGAGTTTGCAAGGCAAGCGATGGAACCACTGAGCTAAATCCCCGGCCCTTCTGTGTTCCTCTTGAGTCATCACACACCCAGGAATTTGCACTGGGTTATATTTCCAGACTTTTTATTTTGAGACAGGGTCTTGCTTAATTTCTAAATTACCCAGACTGGGCTCAAATTTGGATCCTCCTGACTCAGCTTTCCAAGTACGTAGGATTAAAGACAAGTGCCACCAAACCCAGTGAATTTATTTTTTTTAAAGTGCAAAAATACATATTCAGGCCTAGGTGGTGCAGAGAAACTCCAGCACTTCCATACTTACTTTCAACTTGCTCATCTCATACTTGCCATAGGTAAGCCCACCAGCTCCTGTAAAATTTTCTGTTAGTTCTTACCACAAATTTTGAAAGCAATAGTTTTTTTTCAGATCTCCACTGACCTCTGATTTGAGCTGAGCCTGATCTTTGTTAAAGGCAATTTTCCAAATTACTTAATTCTTCTTTAAGGAGTTAACATCTTATTGTTCATGCCCCCCTTCAAAGTCTCAATCCTAGGTTGGTATAAATGATGGAAAAGTAACCAATTAGATTTTCAAAGATTCAAGATTGACTCATGTGGATCTCAAGAAGACGCCCCAAATAGACAAGTTATTATCATCTCATTTCATAAAGCATAATGTGACATCAATCCTGATATGTCAACTCCATTGGATTTAGAAATGTCTAGCAAATTAGTAGAACATGAGGTATTTCTGGGTGAGTCATACAGGTGTGACCTTGGGTACCGTACTTGATCCCTTGTCCATTTCTTTGTGGAGCTGTTCCCTGCTTTGTTCCCTGCTGCCAGGAGCCAAACAGTTTTGGTCTGCCACACCCTTCTGCCATGATGTTCCTGGCTCAGATCCAGCTGACTATGGACTGAATCTCCCAAAGCCATAAGCTAAATTCAACCTTTTCTCTTTTAAGTTGTGAATGTTGGGTGTTGTGACCACCGATGGGGAAGGTGACTGATACAGGTATAATTTTAAATGATTTTTCAGAGAGGATCTGGGGAAAAGATATATGGCAATATGGAAACAATGCTTCAATTCTAAGAATAAAAAACAGCAAATGTGAGAAAGAGAAAAATAAATATCATAAAGCCAATGTTCTGCATATAAAAAGGGGTTATTTGGGTTGCTTTGGGAGATGATGATTCCAATCCTAGAAGACAGTTTTTAGGAAGGAGAACATAATGCACAATGAACATATTTGTTATGAGTGAATGCTATTATAGTTTTGATGAATAGATCATGCAGATTGGTTCTAGTGTCTTCTCACCTGCTCATTGTTTTTGCTAAGTGGAAGCTGAGGTGCAGCCTCTGTGGTTAAAGAGAACGAATCGAATTATGGCTCAGGGCACTGGATCTGGGAATCTGCCCCAGCCCTTAGAGGAAGTACATTTTAGAACACATCCTTCCTCACCCATATTGAGCATACTCTTCAAATTGATAATGAAGCTTATTTTGATGTTTCTATCAATGGGCATTTCACAGTAATGGCTTCACAGCTGAGCAAGCCTGTATTTGGTTAACATTTTTGTCCATTTAGAAACATTGAATTTTAAGTAAAACAAGAAGTACCAATCAATGTGGCAGCTGAAACATTCATTCTATGGAACAAAAGAATAGAGATGATGTCAGAGCTATGACCCAAGTTTAAAATTTAATGTTGTTTGTTATTTCTGTTAAGAATCTGTCTTTTCCTTTGAGTTGCTCTTCACAACATCTGCTAAGTGACTCTGTTGTTGGATTTTAGGGCTTGGCACAATATTCCGTCCTCTTTTATGGCTATTACGACAATAAACGAACGATTGGATGGCTGAATTTCAGGTTGCCGCTCTCCTATTTTCTGGTGGGGATTATGTGCATTGGATACAGTTTTGTGGTTGTCCTCAAAGCGTAAGTTTCATTTTTCTGTTGGGAAGAAAATGATGATTTCTAGACTCAAACAGGAAAGTGACTTGAGAATTAGGTATAATTTTGTTCTATGTCATAGCTAGAGGATGTGGAGTTTATAAGAAATGAAATGTAGCTTTAATACCAAAACTAACATTAGACTATTATATCCTCAAAATGAACACAAACACAGGCCTTTGGGTTGTCCTACTGGGTCAGAGTGATAGTTGCATGTCTATTTTGTTTTTGTGTATATTTTAAAATGTGCCTTTTTGTACCTCAAGTTGTGAATCAGTGTTGTCAGGAGAGGGAAAGAGCCGTGACTCTTTGCATGCAGAAAGGCTTGTGACTTGCACAATCAGCTCAACAGGAAGGATCTGTTCTGTGTTCATTTTTTAAAAGCCAGAATAATCATTCATCCAAAAAATTTTAGCTGTGTAAGACAGAAAAAACAAATGGCCCCTAGTGAGACCATCTTGATCCACTGTATAGGCATAGTTTTTCTTGGGAAAGGATTTATTAGAGTACGGGAATGAATTTCACCAGAGAACTGCTAAAATTGCAGTTCATTTTTTTCCTCCTGCCACAAATATATTTATAATACCTTTCTTAAAGATCCTGCAGAAGCTTAGCAGTTACTTAGGGTTGTGAAAAAATTCATCCTTTAGTCAATTTTCTGAACTACCTCAGGAGTAAAGTTGAAACATCTCATGTAAGAGCTCTGTTCTTTTATTTGACTATACACAAGGCAAATTGGCCTTTTGCCTCACTGTGGGAAGGATCTCTGCTCTGGGGCCTAGGAGGGGTCTTGTGCACAGCAGGAGCTCTCTGAAGCAGCCTCTGATATGCCTTGTGTTCTGTGCCTACCTATTTTCTGATTGCTCCCAAGGAAACAGTCATATTTAGTTTTTTAAGCTCCCTCAGGACTTGAAACGTACTTTATTGGAGACCCCATTTCCAAGGTATTTATTAACTTGTCCAAATATAATCAGAGACCCCAAAATAAAGTATCTGTCTATCGGATAAAGCACCACCACATTCTAAAAATCCAAGATACTTTCTGTTCTTGTGACCATCTTGTGTAATTGAACTAAAATTGTCAAAGATAACATTTCTATTACTGAGCCCTTCATGAGTATTATTTCCATGTTGAACATTTAATTTCTGTGGCCCATGGGGAAGAATATCTTTGTTCATCTAATTATTGTACTCAACTATTTTTTGTGGTACTGAGGATTGAACCCATGACCTCAAGGAAGCATTCTATCACTGAGCTACATCCCAGCCCTCTCAGCTTCTTTTAGTGACTCTGCAGAGTCTATTTGCCTTAGTGAGATCTTGGGCCATTCTGTTTAGGTTCGGTTCCCATCTGTACCTTTTTTGTTAGTTTGTACAAACATCAATAATTTGCTCCTGTTCCTTATTTCTGCTAGAGGTGTAATAGGTGTAATAGGTGTAATAGACGAAAGCCCATAAATACAAAATATGTAAATATGCTGGCATGTTAAAAGTATTTAAAAAGTTTACCATTTTATTAGGACTATATGATAACCATTATTCACAGACTTATTCAATAACCAAGTAAAGCCATTATGGTAGAAATTGAGGTCACATAATAGTTCCCCAGAAGAGGACTGTGTTGGCGATGTACCTCAGTGGTAAAGCCCTTACCTCGCGTGGATTTGATCCCCAGCATCACCAAATAAAGCAAGGGGAGGGAAGTCACATATGGTTATACAGTTGTATGTTAAAGATTTGAGTTGAATACAACCATTTTCTAGCAGATGAATTTAAAGAAGCCAGAACAGCATTGTAGAAGGCAAACCACATACATGACTAATATATCATGAAGTGGCCTATGTGTCCGTCATCAGATGAGTGGATAAAGAAAATGTGGTATTTACTCACAATGGAGTACTCCTCTGTCATAAAGAAAGATAAAAGGATAGATCCATTTGTTGGAACATGGATGCACTTTGAAACTATAATGTTAAGTGAAATAAATCAGACACACAAGCTTAAATATCCCATAGTTTCTTTTATCTGAGAAACTCAAAATGTAAACAAGAGCAAAATAAAAGCTAAACAATAGGAAGTAGGGAAACATCTCTTTTTAATAGGAAGGGGATTAAGATATGGGGGTGAGGAGGAAAATGGGAGGAAAAAAGGAATGAAGACGTGTTATGATATGTACCAACTCCACACAAGGAATGTTATCATTATGTACTGCAAATGTAGAGTAAAAAGAAATTTAAGAACAAGGTAAAACAATTTGTAATATAATTTATTTAGCCTAATGTATCAAAGTATTATTATTTCAATAATTAATATAAAATTGCTATAGAGTTTTTTTGGGACTAAGTCTTTCAGATATTGAGTAACCTCATTTTGCTGTTGATGACCATATTGTACAATGCCGCTCTAGAGGATGCTTTTGTTGGCTCTCACAAATTTGCCCAAAGATCCCATTTAACATAGCTAAAAGGCCCCAACTCTACATTTCCCCCCTCATAGTCATCTGTGTTATGCAACGCCAGCCTGGCTTTGGCCGCTTAGTCTGGCATGGCACTTTGGTTACTTGTTATTGGCAAGTGATATAAACTCAATCACCTGCCTATATAGCAAAGAATTTAAAAGCAATACATGTCTCCCACCCTTACTCCTAGCCCTGGGAACAATACTTGGTAGAAAAAGAGTTGATGAGGTGTAAATGATCATATGAAATCATTTACCATCTCTTTCCATCTCTACTTTCTACCCCAATCAAATTTATGAGATATATTACTCAAACAAAAGGATATCTGAATTCTCAAATCAGCTATGGACTAGTCTTGTCCATATTGCTAACTTCAGCATCCTCATTCATAAAATAGAGGCAAATATCTGTTGTAATTATATAATAGGTAAATCAGAAGGTAAAATGAGATAAAAGGCTAAGAAATACTCTGAGGATTTAGAGCGATCACCTTTGCTATCCCAGAACTCTCCCAGTTTTAGTACTAAAAGTCTTGCATACTAGGAATCACCCCAGACCCCCAAAAAGAGATGGTTGATCACTATAGTTTTAAGCTCCTTTCTTCCTTTTCTTTTTTTCCAGAACAGTGTATAACCCTAACCACATTAGAAGCTTAGAAATCTTTATAGTAAATACAGTTACATAATTATTAAGGGCAAATTAGCATAGCATCATGTTGTAAAGTTACATGACATGGAAGACATCACTTCCTTCATATGTTGGCCTCATCCATTTGAAATTTAATATCCCAAAGTAAGTTTGGTTTGCTTTTAAAACCTAGCTGTTACCATTAAAAGCAATTCTACAAACTAAAAAATTTGGAATTTACTGATATATTTTACAGCAGCTAAACTTTTGGAAGGAGCTAATAATTTGAGGAATGCATGACTAAAGAAACTCCTTGATGTCTTTCTTATCTCAATAGGCTTTTCTAAGACTTTCTTCTATTGTAGGACTCCCTAGGATTAAGACTTTTCTGTTAATGAGCCTAGTAATAATAATGCAGAAAGAATAGGCTAATAACGTCCTTTAATATTTAAATCATGTGTCATATATAACCTCTAAATGATATTAAAAATTTTGTCTACATATATTATCTTTTACAAATCATATACCTATATGTGCTATTAACAAGCCTCAAAATATGCATATAAGTTTGCCTCAGTATGGCAAATTGGCAATATATTATCCAGATTTCTGAACCTGAAACGATAACCATAATTTACATTTTAAACAATAATAATAATTAACACTCTCAGAGCATTTGTAATATATTATCATTACCTTTAGCTCTTACACATTACAAAGTAGCTATTATACAAATTTACATATAATAAAGTAAAGCTCAGAGAAACTAGATTACATGCCTAATATTATTTGACCACAGTAACTACTGGAACCTAGTTTTTTCTAGTTAAAAATGTATCTTCTACCCACCACATCTTGCCACCTATCTGTATTGTGCTTCTTATTACATAGAAAAATTTGTTTCTCCCATGCATCTTGTATGGTGGGGTTAAGTGAGTATTAGTTGTTCCTATTGAATTGATCAAGAAATTAAGGCTTAGCAAAGTTTGATACTTTGACTAAACTCATATGGTCAGTAAATTGCAGAACTGAGTTTTGAAGATTATCCTCTAATTCAGCCTTTATTTTTTCCAGTTCTGGTGAGGATGCATCTATGTTGATGACAAGTGTCTCTCCTTAGCCTGTCCTGTGTGGATGTTTTCAGTTTTTAAATTCCTGCTGATTGGCAAATTCTGTTGGAGTTATATGACCTTGATATAATTCTTGTGCTCTGAAATTTTGTGAAAATAAAAACAAAAACAGAAAGAAAACTAAACCTATCAAAACCAAGTCTTTGTCTTATAAGATTTTGCATATTCCAAGATTTTGAGTCATTGCCAGCCTCTGACATCATTTCTAAATAAGTGAAAATTTATTTCCTCCTCTCTGTCTAGATTGTTGTTGCTCCATCCACTTTCTTTTCGTTCTTTTATATCTGCTTATTCAGGCACCTGTGATGTAGTTGATACCTTGCCCAAACTTATTACCACCCTCCCATGGTACCTCAGGATTAAAATGATTCCTCCTCCTTCCCTTTCACCTCATCACCATTGAAAGATTTCTCTTTGAAAGAATCTTTTCTAAGTAGAGAAAACCAAGCACAGTCTTTGGAGGACACAGTCTAATATTTTCTTTCTCTGAGATATCATCACTGGAGATGACAATATTTGGTTTCTCTAATAATGAATTTGATGCCTTACCCTAGCTTATTGGAAGGTAAATAGGGCTGGCCTCAAAAAGACGCAGAGGACACCAGACCACCAGACCACGGTCCTGAGTCCTGCTACTCCTGGCCCAGAGGTAGGGGCTTCTGAGCCACTGTCCCACTGCTCCTGGTCCAGAAGAAGGGGTTTCCTGGCCACCATCCCTCCCACTGCTCCCAGCCCAGAGGAAAGGGCTTTTGGGCCACCTTCTGTCTCAC